ATTCAAACATTTGGCAAAATTTTGTTTTAATTTAAAAAAAGTTTTAAAATCACAAAATGTTTCAAAAAGACCATGTTTGTTTAAATATGATTCTTATGCACAAGTAAATAGTCAGCAAAAATAAGTACATCCATTCCATTGCACTTATTACAATAGGATAAGTCATTTGCGTGATTTTTGCTATGACCAGATCTATTTTTGTTTCTTTAAAAAAACGTATTTGAAAAACTTGTTTTTAGAAATATATATTGATGAAAAATTTATCTAAATGAAAACAAAACAATAAATTTTGTTCTTAAAATAAATTTGATGAAATACCTAGATTGATTGCCCAAGGATATATTATGACAAAATATTTGCATCAGTTGCAATGATGGAATCAATTCGTATGTATTCCTATGTTTTTAGCCCTTACTAGTTTTAATTTTTTTAAACAAATTCATATGAATAAAATAAATTTTGGTTGATTATGACTCATATAATTTCAAATGATTAAAACAAATTATTTCACATTAATTCAAATCATGAATTTTTTTGCGTTTTACTTGATCACTTATTTACATTCCTAAAAAATGATGGTCGATCAGGCTTGTTTTGATGTTGATGTGTGTTTGTAAAATTCCTTGGTTAGATAGACAATTTCACAACTCTCTAGACAGTCGACCGGTATATATATCAGTCGACCGATTATCCTGTTCAGTCGATCGATATCTGATACTTAAGTCGACCGATTTCTGATATTTTTCAGTCGACCGATTACTTAATAAGTCGATTGATTCATCATTCAACAGGACTTTCAAGATTCTCATGAGTGTTATGATTTTCATGATTTCTGTTCATTTGGAATATGATTTGCTTTCATGATTGATTTCATTTGGAAATATCATTTCATGACTTATGATTTTTTATTATCATTTGGAAATATTCTTTTCGTTATGGATTTTCATACTTTTTTATTTACTTAGATTTTTTTATCTTGAGACCTTTGTAACACTTTTCATAATGACATGTATATGCGTTTTCTTTGGTCACTTTTGAGTATGAGTTATCACACGATTTTTTTTTGTGTATCTCATATTCGTATCTCATATAAAATCTTACTAATCACATATGTTTTTATATATATGACTATTGCTCTATCTCTCTTTTCAATTTTTGTGGATGCCAAAGAGGGAGAAGAACTATGTGACATATATCTATGTGTGAGCTGTGGTTAGTCGATCTTTATATAAATGTGTATGTTTGCTCACATATAGTTTCATTATTATTATTATTTGTTATATGCTCTGAGGCTTTTTGATAGGGGGAGCTTTCCCTATTTATTTATACTCATCGTGCTTGTATGTAGAGGGAGCTTTCGCTCTCTTTTTCTTATTGTTTTTCTCCATTTTGATGTTGACAAAGAGGGAGAACCATGTGTATTGTGAGTCTCTCATTTTCTTTTGCTTACTATTGGTATCATGCACGAGGATTATAAATTGTATATTCATTTGGTATCATGCATGTTTTACTATCCTTATTGTATAAATTGTTTGACATCATCAAAAAGGGAGAGAATGTTAGGTCTCATGTTTATGAGTCTATTATCTAATCTGGTTTTGATGATTAACAAATAATTTCTAATCTTATTTTCTAGTATTTGTGTTTTTCCTCCGACATTCATCCAGGTTAGAGGTTGGATGGGCTTGAGTGTTAATGATGATATTCATGGAGGTTGGAGGAAATCAGAATGAAGCGCGATACCACTCAAGTCAAAGACACGCTATCACTTCATCTCCGCTACCAAGATCGAGCTTAATGAAGATCCTTTGCTTGGGTATGTTGTTTATAGTTTAGATTTTTACTTTATGTGTTTATACTTAAAGCTCAAACCACACAGATATACGTTTCATTTTATCGCTTTCAATTTTAGCCATATAAATATGAAACTAATAGATATATTTATATACATACACACTAGTTTCTTATTTATCGTGTTTTTGGGAAAATAACGTGTTTCTAATTATAGACTTAATGATACTATTTTACATCTTTTCAAAAGTCTATGAATCCATTTAAAAGTACTTCAAAACCTGTTTAGAATGATTTCATGAGAAACACGTATTTAACGATTTTATATTATTGATGATTTTGCAAAACAGTGAGTTTTCACAAATACGAAGTGCTATCTTAGAAATTCTTATTCTAACATGTTTATTTTCATATGTATAAATATTTTCTCAAGTTTTACTAATTTTGGATTTGTTTTACTATCTTAAATTGAATTTAGAAAAACAACTTTTCAAAATTCAGAAATATGTGTATCAGTTTTTTAGTCGACCGATTACTTTAACCAGTCGACCGAATAGTCTTTTCAGTCGATCGATGAAACTTTTTAGTCGACTTGCCAATAGTAGTTTTTACAGCATTAGTTTTTTCAATCGATCAGTTGACCGACCAATAGAGTCAGTCAACCGAATAGTACCTTCAATCGACTGATCTTGGTTTTTCAGTCGATCGAGTCATGACTGTCTGTTTTCTTTACATTAACTGCTAGTTTATTAGTCGACCGATATATTCAACTAGTCGACGAATTATGCATCTTTTCCTGTAACAACTAGTTTTTGTTTGATCTGTTTTGAGAGGCTATAAATAGCCCTCAAGACTTATTTTTTAGCTAAGAAAAATAAGAGAAGTTTCACTAGTTTGTTTCTAAAAGATCAAGTGTGTTTGTTTATGTGAAAAGAATTTCACAAGGAGAAGGATCTTGATTTCGTTTTTGAGGTGCTCAAATCTCTATCTCTCCTTTCTTTGGAGAATTTTTCTAAATCCTTCTTTTAGCTAATTTATATTTTGATTCTCGTATATATATATATATATAT